GCTACTGCTTCAACACGACGTTGGTGATACTATTGTTGGTGCAGATCTGCGGGTTGGTGATGCGGATTTTAGATTTGGGTGAGATGGCGATGCGATGTCAAGTTGTAGGATGGTGGTAGTTGAGAGAATCTGTAAAATTTTGGTATATGGGTTGTGGTGTGGTTATGGTGGCAAGTTGGTGGCTTGGAGGAGGTGGTGGCAATGGTAGTGCTATAGGTTGTGGTGGTTTCGCAGTTGGTGCTGGTGGGTTAAGATTGTAGTTGGCCGAATTTGGTAGGAAGAGGTGGTTGATGGCCGGCAATGTGCAGTGGTAGGCTTGAATGTTGGTCGACCTTTGGAGCTTCAGCAGCCACTCCACCCACATACCCCCGATTTTGAAATCCCTAAATCACCTGTTTTCTCTCTCTCACTCAATCTCTCTGTTCTCTCTCAATAAGTCTTATTGCACCCACCCAACTTTAGCCACAATCAATGGTGGTTGGTGTAGAAGGGATGAGATTTCGACCAAATATGTGTTGATTGTGACTGATTGTGATCTGTTTGTGACGGATTGTAACCGATTGTGATTGGTTAATTGTGACTCGTTGTGACTGATTGTGACTTGAAATTCTATAAATTTTTTGGAAATTGGGAGTGGATGGATGGGGTGGGTAGGTTGATCGGAGCATGCGTTGGAGTGGTTATTGGAGCAGTCGAAACTGTCATCGGAGCAGACGCCGAAGTGATCACCGGAACAGTCGCCGGAGTAGATGACCATCTCCAATGGAGATAAGGGATAGGGAGAGGATATAGACTAGAGAGAGATAATGATTTGGATTTGAAATTTAATAATTTGGGATAATTGTATTATATTATAATTAAAAATATTTAATAAATTAATTTAACAACTGATTTTTGAAAAAAATTTTGAAATTTGTTATTTATGAAATGTGATATTTAAAACAAGGAATTTTGTATTGTTCCCTTAATATTAGTGGAAATGACACACAACCCTATATTTCAAGTTCCAACTTCCAAAATCATATCCAAATTTTATTAATTTAAAAATCAGATATTTTATTAAGTAATATATTATTATTAATTAAATTAATTTATCCTCCACATCCACCTCTTCCTTCGATTTCACATCTCTCTCTCTCTCAAAACCTAGCCTGTCGTCTCTCTCATTTCTCTCTCCACAGTAGCTGGCATTCCTTCTCTCTCCACCTACTCCGTCTTCTCTCTATTCCTCGACCAGTGTTGTTGGACTTTGCGGGAAGAGGATCGGCGCCGCTGTAAAAAAGCGTCGTCGATTGCGAGATTGACGCAGTTACAAGAGATCAACGTCGACGCTGCAAGGCGAGGACCGACGCCGCTGCCAACAGCCAACTCGAGCTCTGTCATGCCGTCGAAAGAAGAGATCTTCCGTTGTCAAGATCTCTGCCTATGAATGTGGGTTCTTTTGACATGGTCGGATTTTTTTGTTCTTTTCGACGATTGCTCTGTTGTTGTGGCGATGGTGGAGTTTTTTGTTGGAAATGGTGTTTGTGGTTGTGGTGCTAATGACGACATGGACGTCGCGACAACGACAGTGAGGTGATGGGGTTGTGGGGGTGTTGGCGGTTTCGAGTAGTGGACTGTCGATGTGGCGGTGGTGTGGTGGCTGGGTGAGTTCTGTGATGCTGCGGGTGTGGCGGTGGTTTAGCCAGATCTGGTGGTACTGCAATGGTAAGATGGGGTTGAGGGTGGCGGTGCGATGGAGGTGGCGGTGGTGTGCTACTGTAATGTTGTGGGTGTTGTATTGGTGGTGATGTCGACGGTGGTACGATGGGTGGCTTCGCAAGTAACCAATGCGGTGGTCGCAAGTGTTGACGGTAGGATTAGACTAGCTGTGATCGTATAATGTACTAACTGTGACCTCAAAATTCGACAATTTGTGACTAAAAATTAATCCGTGGCCTGTAATTCGACAATTTGTGACTAAAAATTTATTTATATCTTTTTATATATTTATATATATGTGTATGTATAGGTTAAAAATCTGATTTTTGAAATGTGAAAGTTATTTTATTATTTTTGAAATGNAAAGTTATTTTGTTATTTTTGAAATGGGGTAAAGATAGGTAGGGATTTTTTGGGGGAAGAATTAATTTTGAATAGTGATATGATGGGAAATGTGTGGTTGAAAAAGAAGATAAAATTAATGATGTGATAGAAAATATTATTTTATTGAAAAATGTGTGGTTGAAAATGAGAATTGATTTACTGTTGAAAATGAGAATTTTTACCAAACATACCCAAAGTTGGAAAAGATTATCCCATTTACGCCCTTTGACTGAACCGGCCCAAATCAAACCCACACAGCGGACCCAAATTTCCAGGCTCCCTACCAGAGGAAGAAATTGGGGATTTGGGAGTTGGGACCCAGTTGAATCCAATCACAGTAGTCCGATAGTGGAAGACGGTGAAGAGGGAGGATTCAAATTGAGCAAAAGGTTTTCAGACAAAGAAGGAGAGGTTGATTACAAGACCAAGGCGGGTACAGCATGGTCACACTCGTTCCTCAACCAGAAACCATGGCACCCTCTTTCATATCCCAATCAGCGACGCAAGTGGATCGCCGAACAAACCCACCCCCAGAAACAGCGCCGCACGGAGGAGGTGGCCCGCGAGGTACAACCCCTTTAGCAATCCTCATATGTACAGTTTTTTCCCCATCGTGTAGAATAATTCAGTGCGTGGTGGTATCAGGATAGTTTCTATGGACTTTAAACTGAATCTTTCTCGTCTTCTTAAAAACCCGGGTCTATTCACTAAAATGAGCTTAATATTATATTCTATTCAAATTTTGTCTGCCGCAAGCTAGTACATCACTACTATGATTGTACTCGGGGGAATGCAACAAGAATTTGAAATGTTTCCGCTCGTAGAGGAATGCTTGTTCCCCATTCTTTACTCCAAGATTATGGTTGCTAGCTCGAAAATGAGTTTTTTTGAGCAAAATTTCCTCTTAAATTGCAGCCGGAGAAAACTGTAACTGTTTTAAAAACTATTGTATGTCAATTCAGCTGGAAGTTCAATCCTTTGTTTTGTCATTGACATTCTTAATTTGTATTGGGTTGGAGTCTTCATTAAAGTTGCCATTTTGTGTCTTAATTTCAAATTTTTTATTCTTTTTCACCTGTAGTTTTGGTGCGGCTATGTGGGTCTCTGCTATCTTTTTCATCAAATAACAAAATTTTGTTTGTAGTATCAAAATGTAATGGTTTCTCATTCATTCATTTTGTTTTTTTGTTTTTTTTTTTAACAGTATGCTCAGGAGCAGGAATTGTTTCGGCAGACTGCGCACATCTCCAAGAAAGAGAAAGAAAAGGTAATTCTTTATATATATATATGGATGTGGGAAATGAGATATTAAAGGCATATTAAAGACTTCAAATAAAAGGAGAAAACAGCACAAGCACGGGCAAATCTATATATAACCTGAATACAGAAATTAATAATGCTGCAGGTATGTTTGAAAGTTGAAACAATGTTAAACGTGGCTCGTGGTAGGTTATCCTTTTGCTTATCTACGTTCAAGATTTAATGTCATCCTTTGCTAGGGTAAAAGCTTGGGGTGTCATTTACAATCTATCTAACATACACGCTAGTAGAATGAAATTTATTATATTTTTTTATTGGCTTATACGAGGCAACAATGGTATTTAGCATTGCTCTATTGAATCCCTGAGAGAGAGAGAGAGAGAGAGAGGCATGGATGGTGGATGATTACAAATTTTACTGGATTGTGATTAACTTGTGAATGTGCAGTTGGAGATGATGAAAGCTGTAAGCTTTATGTATGTAAAACCTCCCGGTTACAATGCGGAGAGTGCAAAAGCTGCTGAGATGGCGGAAGAGAGAAAGCAGGAGCAGGAGCAGGAGCAGGAGCAATGTATCAAAGCCTCTGAGGAGCCATCTCTTGCTGGAGCCTCATCATCAATGTAATGGTTTTTTCATGAAACGCTGGTTAATTAATTTTACATATCATTTTGAGATAGTTAGATCACTATTCTGTCAAATGTATTTTTTAAAAACCATTTCACAAATAAAATTAATGATAATGGTGCTGGTGTGCTAGGATGACAGAATCTATGCCCTCTGCTCAGGAGAAAAAGAAACCAACGCCTAAAGATGTATTTGGTCACGCTTTACCAACAGAAGAACAATTTGAAGTCCTTAAAAATGCCCCAAGGTGTGTGGTGCATCTGTTGTTTACCATCATCCTGGCAAACTGCTCCATGATAATTTTAACTTTGTCACATCTGCTGAAGAGGACTTATCTTTTCATATGTCTGAATTAAAAACATGACATTTGATTTCATTTTGTGATAGTGATTACTGTTTACAACATCATTAATGATTGTAACTGAAACTGTTGTTGCTGAACTAGTGCACATATTAAGAACTGAGAAGCTTTGATAAGATTGGTTAGCTGCAGCCCTATTTCCATAATTTCAGATGCCTGGAAACATCAAAAGAATAAAGGTTTGCTTTTCTATAATTGGTCATTTAGTCTGTCTTCTTATGAACAGAGGTCACCACTGGGCTCTATAATTGTATTAAAACAAGCAGAATGGCTGTTCTGCTGTACTAGTGGTGCTTTGCTATTCCAGAATTTGTGGAAAAATCCATCACATTCAATAATTGAACTTCAAAATATAAAAGGTTTCTCCATGAAAATCATTATCATAGTCCAAGGATCCTATCCTGGCTTACTATATTAACTAAGTACTCATGCAATAAGTTTCTTGTTCATTGTTTCATGTCTTAATACGCAGCATATAAATTTAATTCCATAGATATGCCACCCAAGCTTCTGAGACTCTTAAATAGTAGGATTCCCCTCTTATCTCTCCCCACTTATCTAACATGGTAATTGCATACCATGCAGTAAATTATCTACTAGAGACACTTCTGCCCCAACCAAAATTCAGGGAACACTAAACTAACGTTATTCCATACTTGATAAAGCTTTTTTCCAACTAGGCCAGCCGCTCAATTGTCTGCTAGATTCTACTGCCTTGTCACTTTTGCCTGGAAAGCTCAGTTGAATAAATAAAAGCACCGTCTCTTTTTGTAGTTTTTAGTATTACTATATAAGTTATTATTTTGAAAAAATGGTGTTTTGAATAGTGATTTTTTTGGAGAATATGTGGTTAAAATTTGGGAAAAGTTTTGAGTTTACTTGCAAAATTTTTTGTTGTGTAAATTTGTGGTTGAAAATGAGTGTGAGAATTAAAGAGATTTGTTTTAAAGGGAGACAGATAGGGGGGCTTAATTTGACCTCTTTCTACACATTTTTGTACATTCTTATAGAGTACATTTATCTTGTACTTTCTTAGAGCAGTGGATAATATGCTTAACGTCTGTAGGCAGTGTGGACCCTACCTTTTTCCTTGTTCTTATGTTTCTAAGGATCCATTCAAGTCAAATTTGATCCTTCTCTCTCTCTCTCTCTTATTTTTTTTTATTTTTGGTTTAAGGGGGTGGGAGTTGCTGGTGCTACAACTATGAGGTCTGGTGTTGGGGGATGACAAAGTGACAGTTTGTGCAACACGATGAACCCCCTGTCATTTTGTAGGTTTCTATCCAGATCCTAGTCCGATGAACCCCCTGTCATTTTGTAGGTTTCTATCCAGATCCTAGTCCATGTATTTGCTGCTGGAAATAATAAATATGTTCTTCCAGGTTAGAAACTGGTGCTCCTGCCAGGGTGAAACCATTTGGAGTCGAGATACGGAATGTGAAATGTCTGAGATGCTGAAATTTTGGTCACTAAAGTGGTGATCGTGAATGTCCATTGAAAGATGCTATAATGCCTAATGAGGAGAATCAATTGAAAAGAGATGATCCTTTGACGGCTATCCTTGCTCAAACTAATCCTAGCGAGGTAAATTTCCAAAAAAATTAACCATGAGGGGTTGCTCAATTGGTCAAGCCTTGGGTTTGCTCCCCAATGATCACCAATTCGAGTCCCCTCAGGGCCACTGAGGTGAGTACCCGACCGTAAACTTCGAGGTGCGCGCAAGCTGGCCCGGACATCCATAGGTTTCTATCCAGATCCTAGTCCATGTATTTGCTGCTGGAAATAATAAATATGTTCTTCCAGGTTAGAAACTGGTGCTCCTGCCCGGGTGAAACCATTTGGAGTCGAGATACGGAATGTGAAATGTCTGAGATGCTGAAATTTTGGTCACCAAAGTGGTGATCGTGAATGTCCATTGAAAGATGCTATAATGCCTAATGAGGAGAATCAATTGAAAAGAGATGATCCTTTGACGGCTATCCTTGCTCAAACTAATCCTAGCGAGGTAATTTTCCAAAAAAATTAACCATGAGGGGTTGCTCAATTGGTCAAGCCTTGGGTTTACTCCCCAATGGTCACCAGTTCGAGTCCCCTCAGGGCCACTGAGGTGAGTACCCGACCGTAAACTTCGAGGTGCGCGCAAGCTGGCCCGGACATCCACCCTCAGGGCCACTGAGGTGAGTACCCGACCGTAAACTTCGAGGTGCGCGAAAGCTGGCCCGGACATCCACGGTTATCAAAAAAAAAAAAAAAAATTTCCAAAAAACTATTCCATGCTTTTAGTTTTTTAGTTGTCATGTACAGGTTTCATCTTCTTGGTCCTCTAATTGTTCAATTTAGAGAGGCACCTAACCTTTTTTTAGCAAGGTGTGAGCCTTGAGTGATTTGGTTGATAATGATTAGGTTCGTGTTCGAAAAAACATACCAATCAATTGTGAGAGATGCTAAATTAAATCAAAAGCCATGATGTACAACATTACATCTCAGAGTTGCATAATTCACAGTGTTATATTGCGAAATCAAACCTAAGAGTCTCTATTCCTATGTAATGACTGTACGTGACCCAAATGGCTATACACTATACTAATATGCTTTATTAAGGGAATCTGAGGAGCAGAACCAAAAATCACAAGCGAATAATTCACTAGGCATTATGATCTGTATCATGCTTTATTTGTTCTTAGAAAAGGACATAGGGCGAGGTCTATCTCATTGATTTATATTAACTCCTTCAATCTGTTGATTGGAAATTTGAATTACTGCTCCATGAGATAAAATTAGGATTTTGTAGGGACAATCAGTCGTCTGTCAGGAATGATCAGAAGACATGACCTCCATTTCATTTACTATTGTTGGCCAAGAAAAGTTATCTACTTTGGGCACTTTCTATCCATACGTCTGATCCTCTTGACTTGTCCTACAGCCTCTGAAGTGGGAGCTGAAACAGAAACCCGGTATGAGCCCTCCTCGTGGTGGGTTCAATCCTGATGACCCCAATCAGCAAATAGTTAATGAGGATATTTTTGATGAATATGGAGGTGAAAGCTCTGAACTTTTTAAAAGTCAAACGAATCATCGAGTTTTCGATTTTTGACGTGAAATCTAGTCGTCCTTTTCCATTTGATGTGCAGGGTTCCTTGGCGGGGACAACTTACCCGATTTACTGACCAACTTTTCTTCAAGCAAGCCCAAGAAGAAGTCGGGTAAGAGCAAGCACAGGAGGTCATTACCTACTAGTCCTGAATCGAGTGATCATCAAGAAAGGGGGTCATCTTCTGGTGCGGATAAGTGGGGGAGATCAAAGAAAAAGAGACATAAGAGAAGCAAGCAAAAACATCCCGAGTCAAGTTCATTGGAAAGTTCAGATGATGGTAGGTATCACAAGGGGAGCAGCAGACGCAGGCATCACTTTTCAAATTGTTCTGAAGTTTCAGACTCGGATGAGCAACATACAAGTAAACACCGCCATCGCCAAAAGTAGCTCTAGTTCTTTATCTCCAAATTATCAATTTATCAATGGGTGTTTCTTAGGTGCTGAAGAGATCCTTCATGGCTGATATTGTGTATCGACTTTGGTCTCTTATAAAGGGTAGGAAAAGAAAGGTTCTTGGTATTATTGTACGTCTCTGGCGCATCTTTTATTGTTGTATGCCCTTAAATTTGCAGTCAGAAAGCTTGCTAAAATTAGTTATTTCGGTGTTCATTTTGATCCCAAATGCATACAGGTTCTTGGTACATTTTTATATTAACCTTTTTTCTTAGAAGTGAATATTTTTTATCAAATATATAATATTTTTATCATACATTTAGTAGAATTTTATTCACGTATTTTGTATGATTTATACACTTAAAATCAATACCAAACAAGCATGAGAAGAAATGAATTGCAAAGGCATCTTCCAAGTGAAAGTCGAGATGCTACTTCAAGTGAGAGCTAGAGCCTAGAGCCCTTCTTCGCTGCTTCCCGTCCGAGGCTGTCCCTCGGGGTAGACTAACTACAGCTACATCCAAAAAAAGAGTTGTACTCCACTCTATGTAAATTGTACATTAATTTGTCAAATGGAAAGCTACTATGGCGTCTAAAAAATTTCCTTCCGAAATATAAACAAACCGGACAAAGGCTTCACTTCATCCCCACAAAACCCTTTCCTCCCCTCTCTCTCTAGGGTTTTTATTACTGAACTGTAAACTCAGCTTTCTCCCTGAACTTAAAATAATCATGGCTTCAATCAAGATTTTTAGCAACAAATGCAGAGCTCTAATGGCTGCGGCCAATTCCTCCGCCGCCGCCGCCGCCTCCTCCACCTCCACCTCCACTGCTAAAGCTAAAACCACTAACGCTACAAAGGCCAAATCTGGCAACGCTGGCATACTCAAGGTCCAAAATGTCTCCCCTGCTCTCGCCAAGTTCATCGGTTCCTCCGAAGCCTCGCGCTCTGGTGCCGTTAAGAAAATCTGGGAGTACGTCAAATCGCACAACCTTCAGGTCCGAATCACCGTCGTATACTTATAATATCTGTATCTATGTACTTTTTGTGTCTCCTGGCTTGACGTTATTTGAATATGGTATTAAGGTTTAGTGATGGTTATTGGTATCATGCAGAACTGTTATACTCTGTTCTCACTTGACCATACTGATGTGGGTATAACATTGTAATGGAACAAGTTTTGAAGCGTGAGCCGTAATTTTGTAAGTTATTCTAGGTGCTTGTACCTTGATCTCACATAGAAATTGATTTGTTGCTGTAACTAACACATGCATGCATACAAGTTATATCCCATATGTATGGGATGGCACACTTAAGTAATTGCACCTTAGTATTGTTCTTGGGCACCACACTTCCACACTTGTCACTTTTACCCTGCTCTGGCGACTGGCAGGATCAGAACTGAAGGGACATTACATGCCCTTATATTTGGGCTCAAGTGTGTGCAAACACAATGGTATTACCATGCAACAATCTAAAGCCTTCAGTACTATAACTTTAGTACTATAACTTTGTGTATTTTTCCACGTTCTTCAGCATTCATACTTAACCAGCACCAGCTCAAAGCCTGATAGGGTATTAGATGCTTGCATTCACAAATATAATGGTTTTCACACCGTACTCGTATAATCTTTATCATATTAGGAATGACCGTGCTAGAACCTTGGAGGACATTTCCATGCATGTATAAAATCATTAAATGTAATTATTCTCTGTATTTTTGTTTGGAAGGCTGTACACTGTAATTCGAGTTGTAAATGATTGAATTAATAGCAAAATACTAGCTCTTAAGTTGTTTCAATATGCTACTCTTGGTCCTGAAAATGTTTTTTGGTGTGAAAAAAGCAACTTCAAATGATCTTCTAAAATGTAATTTTTAATCCCATTCACAAAATATCTTCCATGATTTCCTATTTTGCATATGCGTTTCTGTCCTTTCCTGTATATTTCTAAGTATGCAAGATGTTCTTGATCATCTAATGTGTTGGGAAAATGGCGAAGTATCAAAGTTTTGGAGTATCATTAACACTGCCCTTTTTTTGTCTTCTACCTCTAAATTGTCTGCTGTTTGGCTTTATGTTGCAATTATTTGAATGTTATCATAATTTCAACGTCATTTTGCAGAACCCAGACAATAAGAGAGAGATTTACTGTGATGACACACTGAAGACCATTTTTGATGGCAAGGACAAGGTTGATTTTCCAGGAATTGCAAAATTGTTGTCCAACCACTTCCCAAAGTCCGTGTAAGATTTACTAGGCGAGGCATTTTAGTTAACTTAGATTCTTGTGGTTGGTATTCTGTGTATTGATGTGCCCTATGCGGCTCTTCTCTTATATGCCTCTTGTCACGTGTTTTTGGGTATGTGATTATGAAATCTGGTGCATTGACCAAATGTTCAATGATGAAACTTCTTTGAAGATATGACGACAGATGTGAAGGGATTTTGCAATGTTTTGAACCTTTGTATCTTATGGAAAACAGAAGCCGTGATCAATGATTGGCTATTGATTCTTTACAAGTTTTTTACAGTCAGACTTGTTTTGTAGTTGATCAATTTGCATAGTGTTTAAATTGTGAGGTAACACGTGGTTGTGGATATTCACAACATACATGAAGGTCTTGGCCTGAAAAACATGTTGGTGCTATTTAGTTTTAGGAGGCAAGTATGTGGATATGGTTTGTGTATAATATGGTTCATACTTAATAGTATGCAAAACCAATTTCAATATTTCGCCTATGATTATATTTTAGGAAGATGCATGTTCATGGCGTCTTCCCTTGGGTACGGGGCCACCCTCAAGTTAATGGTTGAGCTCGTTCACTGGCACACGTACTTGGAGTTGGTTAGGTTGTGCTTGTCTAATGATCACGTTATAATATTAGTTTGACTAATGCCGAGCTTGAGCAAAAAGATACTTGGGCGAATGTGGTTGAGCTTGACCTCGACTGGTGATTGAGCCTGGTTAGGGTTGGTGAGCCTCTTCAGGTGCTGGCCAGTTGGCTTTACTAGTTTGTCAAGCTCTACTAGCATTGAGCGAAGTTAGGCGCACTGGCAGTACACGGATATGCATTATTCGTCGTGTGAGTTTGTCAAGCTCTACTAGCATTGTGCGAGGCTGGGTTCAAGGCAGCACAGATATGCGCAACGGCAAGGTGGCTGATTCTGTTATGACCATTAATTAATTTTATCGCTGTGTTCATTACTTGGTATTGATGCAAAAATCATCTACTACCAACATACATTATTGTGACAGATATGCCGTTTAACAAATAATATTGAGAAAATAAATTAATATAATTCTCTTCATAGTATATCAATTGGGTAAAACAACTATTAGTCACTTAAGAAAGCACTTTGATATTAATATAATTCTCTTCATAGTATATCGTGCTTTTGAAATGCATTTTTCTGAAAAAAATCACAAAAGAAAGCACGTCTTTCCATCAAAAAATATTATTGCGCATTCGGTAAAATTTATGTCAAACGATTTTTTCATGTCATGTTACCGTTTTTATTAATTAAGCAAACAGAGATGAGCTTAGAGTTTAAAAAGGAACCATAAAAAATCGTGCCTTTAGTATGCATGAATTGAAAGAACAGGCAAGAGCAAAAGCTTGTACCTAAAGGAAAGATTTTGAGGTATGTCTTCGTTACTCTTTCGATACTTGAGTGAGCAAATGCATAAAGAACGTAAGTGCGACTCCATGCGCTAAATAATTTATACAAAAAAAAAAAAAAAA